GGGAGCCCCCGGGGGCGGCGGAGCTTCCCCGCTCCCCGGCGCCGTCCCTCCCTTCGCTCTGTGCGCAGTGGGGGGGTGGGGGTGTCACCGGCTGCCTCCCTCCCCACGACGTGCGCAGGGAGGTGGCAGCGCTTGGGGACCCAGCCCTGGGGACCCCTCCCCACCGGGGTGTCACCATCACCCATTGCCCCCCGTGGGGAGGCAGTGGGGGGAACCCCAGCCCACCCCACACGGCTCCCTGCTGCCCCCAGGGTGCAGGTCCTCGGGGTGGGGGGGTCGTCACGGGCCCTGGCCCCCGGCCTGGTCCCCCTGGGTGGCTCAGACCTCGCCAGGCTGGAGCTCGTCTCCCATTTCCTTAAGTAAAGCACTTGGTGTGGCCTCAATTTCTGCTTTTGCAGACCCAGCAGCCAGGGACATCCACCCCCCCACACACCCCACATTCTGTCGTGGTTTAAGTGACTGAGACCCTAGGAGAGCAGAAGGTGCCCGGCCGCGCTGAGGGTGAAGAGAGTGCTGAAGGAGCGGCTGGGTGCAGGGTGCTGATGTACCCAGGGTGTCCAGCAAACGTACAGGGAATCCATGACCTGCCCAAGGCAGCACCCAAACTCCTGCCCTCCCGGACCCGCTGCTGCCTGCAGCCCTGCAGGGTCCAGCTCTGCACCCAGACCTGGGGACCGCTGCTCCGGAGGGCGAGAGCCCCAGCGGCCTTGGAAAGGGGCAAGGAGCAGCGCTCAGTGCAGCTGCAACACCTTGCAGGTCACACTGCATGGGGCAGCCCAGCTGCAACCCCTCTGGGGTTGCAATGCGCTGGAGCAGTGCAGCTGCGATGCATCAGGGCTTGCAGCAACCAGGGGGCGGGTCAGCACGGCTGCAGTGCATCAGGGCTTGCAGTGATCGGTGTGGGTGCAACACATTGGGGCTTGCAGCGACCAGGAGGGTTGGTGCAAATGCAATGCATTGGGGCTTGCAGCAACCAACGGTGTTGGTGCAGCTGTGATGCCTTCAAGGCTTGCAGTGACTGGTGGAGGGGTTGGTGTGGCTGCAATGCATTGGGGCTTGCAGCAATGGGAGGCGTTGATGCAGCTGTGACGCATTCGGGGCTTGCACTGACCAGGGCTGAGCAGCTGCAGCCCCTACTCAGTCAGCAGGAAGGACGGAGGGGACGAAGCCGTCTCCAGACAAACATGAACCTGCTTCCCTGATGCCCCCTGCCCGCCCCAGCTCCCCAGGTCTCTGCGCATCCCAGGACTGCAGCTCCCGCCTCCTGACCGGCCCCAAGGCACAGCAGCTCCTCGCCCCCACCCCCACTTCCCAATCCAGGATATTTGGGTTGCTGGCGGGAAGTGCTCTCTAATCTGCCCTCTAATCCCACAGCCTGGCCGCGTGGGGCACGGGGGTCTGGGGCCCTGCCAGCCCCATGGCAGCTCCCACAGGGCTCGGCTGGCTCCGGGGGGCTGCAAGGAGCAGAAAAACATGCACGGGGAAGTGCAACCGCCCCACGGGCGGTGAGGAGCAAACCCGGCACCCGCCAGGACCGGGCACCTCCGCAAACCCCTCCTCGCCCGTCCCTGGAAGGGAGCACGGGGGCGGCCGGGCTGCGCGGTCGCCGCTGCACCAGGCACCGCGTCTACAAAAATACTTTATTGGGGAGCATCGAGAAGGTGGCACGGGGCAAATGCCTCCCAGGATGGCACTGCCTTGGCTGCCCGGAGCCCCATGCGCCCGCCCGGGGCGCCCAGGCCCTCGGACATGAGGCCAGCACGCTGGCTGGTGGGTCCAGGGGGTCCGTCCGGGCTCAGGGCGCTGCGGGAGCGTGGGGGGCGCCGGGCGCCTTGGGGCGGCCGTTGAGGCGGATCACGGCGCGGTAGTCGCGCAGCAGCTCGCGCAGCGGCTCCAGGTAAGGGCTCACGTTCTCCTCCAGCCACTCGTCCACCGCATCAGGGAAGTAGACGGAGGCGAGCTGGGCACGCAGGCTGCGCTCCACGCTCTGCCAGTCCTCGTGCAGCCTGCGGGCAGTGGGGCTGAGCGCCGGCCCCGCAGCCCCGGGACCCCCTGCGCCCCCAGACCCGCACATACTTGAGCAGGCGGCTGCCGAAGCTCTCCAGGTTGCGCGGGTTGCCGAAGCGGCGCTTGCGGTGGTAGGGGCTGAACCAGCCCTTGACGGCACTGGGGGGACATGGGGGTCAGCACCCATAGGAGCTGCACAGGGGCTCAGCCCCAGCACAGGCAGGTGCTTGGGGGGGCACAGGAAGCCCCCTCTCTCCAAAGACGGACTGAGCGTTCCCCTGTGGAAGCTGGGGCCTCGCTGCGTTGCCCTTGAGCAATGTGGTGGCAGGGGGGACAGGACTCGTGCCACAACCCCAGCCCTGTGCTGGGGTCTCACAGGCCCCCCCCAGAGGTCTCCCGGAGCACACACACACAGCAGGGGTCTGGGCCGGGTGCTGTGCACCCAGGGGATGCACCCCCTGGCAGAGGCGCCAGGGACACATATGCATTGTGCACCCAGGAGATGCACCTTTGCAACCACGGGCAGTGGGGGCCATGGGGGACAGCCAGATTTGGGCACAGGGGACATGAGGCCAGAGGGGGCAGCCCGTGCTGCAGGTTCCCAGCCGGCGGGGATGGCCACGTCCCTGCGAGTCATCCATGCCGTTACCTCTCCTCCTCCAGGATCTTAGCCACGCTCTCCTTCAAGTGGCCGTTCACCTGCTCGACCAGGCGGTAGATCTGCGCGCCGGGGAAGGCTCCGTTTCCCTCGCTAGGGGAAAGACAAGGGGCAGCCGGGGGGTCCCCGCAGTCCCCGCAGGGCGCACGGCCCTGGCTGCACTCACTGGGCACGCACCAGGTGCTCTGCTCCAGCTGGATGCTGTGGAAACCCAGCACATCCAGGACCTTCCTCTTGGTGGCTTCAGTGAAGCCCCCTGCAAGGCAGGGGACACGGTGAGCGGGAGCGGGCGGCGGTACGGGGCCGAGGCGCCCGTGGCAGCGCTCACCGTTGGCCAGGGTCTGCAGGCACACGGCCAGCGAGGGGATGCCCACGGGCAGCAGCTCACAGAGCACCGCATAGTGGTCGTACCTGCGGCGGGGATAGTGGCACCGTCACCTCTGGGTGCCACAGCAGTGCTCCCGCCCGGCCCGCGGCTCCCAGTGAGCCCCGGGCACCAAGGACACTGCGGTGGTGGCGACCCAGCGGTGTCAGGGGGCTCTCCAGGACTGTTATGCACTGAGGGAGGCCGGGATGTCGCGACAGTCCCAGCTCTCTGCAAGCCCCATGCACCACGGGTGGCAGGGATGTCATGCCAGTGGCTCTCCCGGAACCATCCCCCATGGGCAGTGGGGACGTCACGGGGGCCACCAGCTCTCTGCAAGCCCCGAGCTGCGCAGGCAGCAGGGTCACTGCACGGGTCCCTGGGTGTCTGTGGGTGACAGGGATGCGGTGCCGGCCCCTCACCTCTGCCAGCCGGTGAGGACGATGCCCTGCAGGCGCAGTGGGGCGAAGCGCGGCATGGCCTCCACCACCTTGAGCCAGCTCAGCTGGTTCTGCAGGTGGTGGCCGAGCGGCGGCCAGGCCTGCGCCGGGCCCGTGGTGCCCTTGAAGGCGCTGGCGAACCACACGGAGCCGAAGCCGCTCTCGGCGTACTTGGCGAGGAAGGGCCCTGCGGCGGGGCGGTGAGCGCGGCCGGGGCTCCCGGGGGTCCCCGGCCCCTCCGCACGCCGCCTTACCCACGTGCCCGGCGTCAAAGTCCGGCGCGTAGAACCACACGACGGGCGAGACGAGCTCGGCGAGGCCCGACTCTGCGGGGCGGCGGGCGGGCCGGGGCTGAGGACGCGGCCGCGCGGCCCCGGCGCCCGCGGCCCCGGCCCCGCTCACCCCGCAGGGCGCCCGCGCTCATCCTGCGCAGCATGTCGTCCCACATGAGCGCGCGCCGCCCCGGCGCCGCCACCGCGCTCGCCACCTCCTTGACGTGCTGCAGGTACATGGCGCCCACGTCGCCCTTGGTGCGGCTCATCCAGGCCCGCGAGTCTGCGCCCTCGCCCAGGTGGAACACCTGCACGGGGCGGGTGCACGGGGATGCGTCAGGGCGGACACCGGCCTCCAGGACCGATCCAGCCACCCCGTGCGCCCAACCGGGTCCCGCGCACCTCATCGGCGCCGATGTGGATCCAGCTGGAGCGGCCGTGCTTCTCCATGACCTGCGCCAGGAGGTTGCGGAGCAGCGGCAGCGTGCCCGGCGCGTGCGGGTTGAAGCTGTTGGGGAAGCGCTCGACCTCCCGCAGGTGCTGGAACTTCTCGTGCTTGAGGATGAACTGCGCCGGGAGGCACCGCGCAGGGTTGTCCCCACATCCCCGCTGCCACCGCGGCCCCGCTCCCGTCCCCGCGCCCGCCTACCTCCGCGTGCCCGAACGTCTGCACCAGCGGCACCACCTCCAGCTGGTTGAGCTCGGCCAGCTGCTGGATCCGCTCCACGTCCTCCTCGCTGCAGGGCGACGCAGCGTGAGCGCCCAGCGGTGCCACCGGGGCCACGGGGCCCGCCCGCTCACCTGTAGGCGTACGGGGACCGGAGCGTCTCCAGCTCCCCCTGGAACGGGAACATGTCCTCGTACTCCACCAGGATGCCACTGGCTCCCAGCTGGGACAGGAGCGGGAAGAGCTGTGGGCGGCAGGACACGCGGGATGCAGGATGCTCTGGGATGCCGCGGGTGCCCGGAGCGCCCCGCTGCTGCTACCCTCACCTGCTCCAGGTAGGAGACGCGGGGCGCAGCGCCCTTGAGGTCCAGGTGCACGAGGCGCAGCTGGGGGCCGCCCTCGTCCTGTGGGAGCTGCTGCCTCTCATCCGGCTCCTCGGCTGCCACCGTCTCCAGGGCCCCGCTCCGGGGCTCCGCGGCCTGTGCCGGCCCCCAGAAGCTGTCCTGGATGCCGGGCTTGGGTGACTGCAGTGGGAAGCTGCACGGAGCAGAGCAGGGTGGGAGATGCTGTGGTCCCGAACGGCAGGACCCTGGCGCAGCCCTGCAGGGCCCCTGCGAGGGGCCGGCACCGCTCACCTGTCCCGGAGCAGGAACTTGATGCCGGCCAAGGTGACGATGAGGAGCACGGCGAGGCGCAGCAGGTTCAGCTTGTGGCTCCGCTGGAAGGCCATGGCCAGGGGGCACGGCCTGCGGGGCCCCCGCGGCGGCACCAACGGCGCACGGGTTACTTCAGCTGCTGGAAAATGACATTTGCAGCACATGAGGCTCCATCGGGATGTGGGCGCACCGCGATGTGGGTGTCCCCGGGCGGCTGGACTGGCCCCAGCTCCCGCCCCAGCAGCACGATGGCACCGGGCGCCACGGCATGACCCGGCAGGGCCGAGGGTTAAACCCGGCGCGCCAGATTTGGGAGCCAAAAAGCAGATTTTGGTCCCTGCCGGAGCACAAGCCTCTTATCCACCCTGAGGGCTTTGCTGTTGCGGCGCCGTGCACCGGGACGCGGGGCCCCGTGTGCCCTTGGCGCTGCTCCCGTGCCCTGCCCACGGACACGGTGCTCCCGAGCGCCAGGGTGCCAGTGGCCGCGGGGAGCTGCATCCCGGAGCTGCATCCCGCCCCGCTCCCGAGAGGATGCAGGAGCCGCGCGGGCCTCCCTGCAGCACCTGCTCCATCCCAGGGCGTCCCAGCGGAGATCACTGTGTCCAACGGGAGCGGCGCTTAGCAGCGCACGGCAGCTGGGGACACCGATGGAGCGGCTGCATCCGCACTGCATCCCTGGTGCATCCCTGCTGCTACAGCACCTCATCCCTGCTGCATCCCCGCTGCATCCCCACTGCTGCAGCACCTGATCCCCTCCATCCCTGCTGCATCCCTGCTGCATCCCCACTGCATCCCTGCTGCTACAGCACCTCATCCCCACTGCATCCCTGCTGCTGCAGCGCCTCATTCCTGCTGTATCCTTGCTGCATCCCTGCTGCTCCAGCCCCTGGTCCCTGCTTCATTCCCGCTACATCCCCAGCTGTATCCTTGCTGCTCCAGCACCTCATCCCACTGCATCCCTGCTGCATCCTGCAGCTCCAGCACCTCATCCCTGCCGCCTCCCCACTCACGTGCCCCAATCCCCGCACGCGGGATCACGGCGGCCGGTGGCCCGGGCTCGGGGTGCACTTGCCCCCCGCTCCGCGGAGCCCCGGGTCCCGCGGCCCTCCCGCGCGGAGCGCAGCGGGAAAGGCACCGCCCGCACCGTGTCCGTTTCCAGCGCGGGGACCCCGCGCAGCCCCGCTTGTCCCTGCGGTGCCCCGCACACGCGGATCCGCACCCCTGCAGCGCCCCGCGCTCC